GGGACCGTGACATAGTCATTGTGGGACCGTGACACAGACCTTGTGTGACCATGACATAGTCCTTGTGTGACAGTAACATAGTCCTTGTGTGACCATGATATAGTCCTGGTGTGACCGTGACATAGTCCTTGTGTGACCGTGACATAGTCCTTGTGTGACAGTGACATAGTCCTTGTGTGACCGTGATATAGTCCTTGTGTGACCATCACATAGTCCTTGTGTGACCATGACATAGTCCTTGTGTGACCGTGACACAGTCCTTGTGTGACCGTGATATAGTCCTGGTGTGACCGTGACATAGTCCTTGTGTGACAGTGACATAGTCTTTGTGTGACAGTGACATAGTCCTTGTGTGACCGTGATAAAGTCCTGGTGTGGCCGTGACATAGTCCTTGTGTGACAGTGTCATAATCCTTGTGTGACCATGACATAGTCCTTGTGTGACCGTGACATAGTCCTTGTGTGACCATGACATAGTCCTTGTGTGACCATGACATAGCCCTTGTGTGACCATGACATAGTCCTTGTGGGACCGTGACATAGTCCTTGTGGGACCGTGACACAGTCCCTGTGTGACCATGACATAATCCTTGTGTGATAGTGGCATAGTTCTTGTGTGACCATGATATAGTCCTTATGTGACCATGACATAGTCCTTGTGTGACCATGACATAGTCCTTATGGGACCGTGACATAGTCCTTGTGGGACCGTGACACAGTCCTTGTGTGACCATGACATAGTCCTTGTGTGACAGTGACATAGTCCTTGTGTGACCATGATATAGTCCTTGTGTGACCATGACATAGTCCTTGTGTCACCATGACATAGTCCTTGTGCGACCATGACATAGTCCTTGTGGGACCGTGATATAGTCCTTGTGTGACCATGACATAGTCCTTGTGTGACCATGACATAGTCCTTGTGGGACCGTGACATAGTCATTGTGGGACCGTGACACAGTCATTGTGTGACAATGACATAGTCCTTGTGTCACCATGACATAGTCCTTGTGTGACCGTGACATAGTCCTTGTGTGACCATGACATAGTCCTTGTGTGACCATGACATAGTCCTTGTGAGACCGTGACATAGTCACTGTGGGACCGTGACACAGACCTTGTGCAACCATGATATAGTCCTGGTGTGACCGTGACATAGTCCTTGTGTGACAGTGACATAGTCCTTGTGTGACCGTGATATAGTCCTTGTGTGACAGTGACATAGTCCTTGTGTGACAGTGATATAGTCCTTGTGTGACAGTGACATAGTCCTTGTGTGACAGTGACATAGTCCTTGTGTGACAGTGACATAGTCCTTGTATGACCGTGATATAGTCCTTATGTGACAGTGACATAGTCCTTGTGTGACAGTGACATAGTCCTTGTGTGACAGTGACATAGTCCTTGTGTGACAGTGACATAGTCCTTGTGTGACCGTGACATAGTCCTTGTATGACCGTAATATAGTCCTTGTGTGACAGTGACATAGTCCTTGTGTGACAGTGACATAGTCCTTGTGTGACAGTGACATAGTCCTTGTGTGACAGTGACATAGTCCTTGTGTGACAGTGACATAGTCCTGGTGTGACCATGACATAGTCCTTATGTGACAGTGACATAGTCCTTGTATGACCGTGATATAGTCCTTATGTGACAGTGACATAGTCCTTGTGTGACCGATATAGTCCTTGTGTGACAGTGACATAGTCCTTGTGACATAGTCCTTGTGTGACAGTGACATAGTCCTGGCGTGACCGTTATATAGTCCTGGTGTGACCGTGACATAGTCCTTGTGTGACCGTGACGTAGTCCTTATGTGACAGTGACATAGTCCTTGTGTGACCGTGACACAGTCCTTGTGTGACAGTGACATAGTCCTGGTGTGACCGTTATATAGTCCTGGTGTGACCGTGACATAGTCCTGGTGTGACCGTGACATTGTCTTTGTGTGACAGTGACATAGTCCTTGTGTGACAGTGACATAGTCCCGGTGTGACCGTGATATAGTCCTGGTGTGACCGTGACATAGTCCTTGTGTGACAGTGACATAGTCCTTGTGTGACAGTGATATGGTCCTGGTGTGACCTATGCACCTTTGAATATCGAATTTCTCTTATGTTCTTAATGTCAGTCTAATCCATCAATATTAACTAAAGACAACAGCTCTGTCATAATTCGATTAGAAATAAAATTAGGCACAGAATAGGAAACTGTCAAGTAAATCTAATCGATGGTCTTTACAATTTTACGGTCTAATTGTTTCATCAGAAAAATAGGGGCAATTCATGTAAACACCGACAACAAGAGACACTCATAATGTGAAGCATAATGTGAACTGGGTATATGCCGTGATGTATGCCTGAAGAAAATGGTGCGTTGTATTGCAAATTTTAAGTAAAATACGTACGTTGATAGTGTTGAAGATGACGAACCAGATGATGTTAGACCAGGTAACCCAGGAACTAAAGCTCTAGAAAAAAATATTGTATTTTCTAATAAACATAGTGTAGCATGTTTTGTGTTGTTTTTTTAAACGACTTTGTGTACATCATGCCATTACAAACACATATAGTATGTGAAGGCAGGGGGGGTTCAAGGGGCGGGCGCCAATCTGAACCCGCAGTTATTCTTACACTTAATTCCCACAACGCAACGCGTCAATAACGTCATTGAAACGGTACGCCTTCTCTCAATGAACATCACGGATCTGCCTCTAGGGGTGACTGAGTGGCAAGATGTGAACTAGGTGAAATGAAGCACCTATTTTGAACAAGTACGTAAGCCAAACACCACATCATGGCAATTATGAAACACCGACATGTGTGTCTCCCTCCGCCGAGCAAACATTCGCATTACTTTGTTTTTGTTTGTTTGTTTTTAAGTACGAAGACATGGCGCCAATGCTTTCTTTGTGTGAGACGGAAGTCACTTCATGGATTATTAGATTTCCATAAACAACAAAGATAGCGTTTTATTGAAAACAGGTTACAACAATCAAAATATTGTTTTAATTTCTTAAAACCACGTCATTTCATTCGTACATTCAATCATTCCATTCGATCCTCTGTAATACAGATTTAATACAGATATGCTATTATTTCGTTCGGGCATTTCTTTTCTTTCAAATATTTCACTGATACAGTTTGTTCGGGCTATGAGACAACACCCAAAATGTACTTTCATTATTATTTTTCTGGCGCCTAATCCCGAAAGTAAAATATGGTGGACCAAACTCCGCCCGACCGTCATATGCTCGGGAGTTAGAAGGTTCTTATTTTAATCAGATTGGTTAGAATATCATTGTCAGAATATTAGAATTCGAATTTGTAACAAAAATGTACTAAATATATAGCTATAATATTCAAACAGTCCATGCAAGCTTCAAGCAACCTTATTATAAAAATATATATAGATTAAAATTACGGCGTATATCGAACTGCGAACCCGCTCTACACGAACGGAGTTAATATTTAAACAAACTAGTCATTGCAGTAGGTTAGACCTGAACTATCTTAACATTTTAGCGCGTCTACGGTTCGCGTCGCTGTCTCGGATGCCACGAGAGTGATATGACGGAAGAATGTATAGTCAACTGTCCTGATTGAAAGTGGGGTTATTATTCCATTGCTGTTTTTCAATGTTATTTTTTTTTCGAGTTCTGTGATGGTTTTTAACAAATTAATGTGAACTTCACTACCCGTGGAAGAAAAAAGAGTTCCGAGTAAGTCGTGTTAGTACGGGAACGCACAGTCCCTCTATAGGGATATTGGGGAGCGTATAGTTCTTGTTCACAAAACATCCCAGCACTGTGACCAGGGCGGTAAAAAAGAAGCTCAAGTTGTGATATCGCGTAGCATTCGATTAAAACTTGACAGGCTAGAGGCGCCCATGACACCCTAGGCGGCGACGCGATCGCACTTCTGATCTCCCGAGCATACGACGGTCGGTCTGAATTTGGTCCACCATATTTCACTCTCGAGCATACAACGAAGGGCCGGAGTTTGGTCCGCCATATTTTACTTTGCAAACGATTCTGGTTAAAAACTCCTAGGCGCAGGAAATACTGAGCAAAAAAAGTCGAATAGTTTACCCGCAAATGGAAGTAGCACTCAAACGAGTGGTAAATCAAATGAAAAATGGGTGTTGTCTCAAAGCAAACTGTATGAATGAAATACTTAAAAATACGAAATGATGGTTAATTAGAAATAAATGATAAAATATCTGAATAAAATGATCGAATCATGTCCGAAAGGAGTGTACAAATAAAATGATAATATACACGCAATGTAAGGTAGAAACGTGATATTGTAATGTCTACATGAATGGTCCATGGATAATGACTTTCTGGAATCATTCTAAAATGTTACCGCTACTAAGTAACGACAATTTGGACTTTAGCTGTGAACGTCAAAATTGAAAATCCTGTTTTCATTTTATTGAATCGCTAGGAATTTTTTTGGTTAGTTTCAGATTAGTGAACGGCGATTAAAGATAGAAGCAAAGTTCAATACTACCAGTCAGTTTTGTTATCATGGGACTGTGGGAATTACTGTACTATGTGAATTCCGATGACAGCCCCGAAATAATCCATCACTCAACACTTTCAAGCACTGAAGTAACTATTTCGAAAATGGAATAACATTGATAATCGCAGTGAACAATTATTCAACAAATGAAGTGGCTGTGGTATAGCCACGTGACGACCAAGCGATCGGATGATTCACCGCGTATGAACGGCGACTTTTGTTTTGTATTCGTTAATTTTGATGTCTAGTCTGTAACAACCTTCACACGTTGCCTCAAAACATAAAACGTAGCGGAAAATAACTCGAACGTGTCCAGCGTTATGCTGACGTATTTTCTAGGTAAACAACTAAATTACATTAAATTGCATTACAGACAATAAACAAATGTCACTGTTCTAGTGTCACATTGCAGGTTATCCTGGGGTCATCATGTAAATGAAGCATAAGAACAGAACTGACTGATAACATCGTATTTTGCGCTTGTCTTTGATCTGTAATCCTTTGTTATTACGCTCACAGTCGGCTAAAAAGGTAGAAGTAACCGAAAATGGCCCCCAGCGATTCAATAATAAAACGAAACGTCCCACATTGAAAATGGGATTCTGATTTTTGTCGTTCTTTTCATAAAAACTAAATGTCGCCACCACAGGCATAACTTTGAGAATCACGTCTAAAATCCAAATTGTGGTTACTTACCACCAATTTATCAATTTAAATTAAGTCAAAAACCAAAATGTTAGAATATTACCTTGGCCGTCACATTAGCCATGGCTACCGCGCCATAAGTACTTTGAAAGCAATGGCATATACAATACTTACCGCATATACAATGATTATAATTGTAGTAATTAAGGTTAAAATAATGAAAATAACCATAAACACCATCCATGGCACCAACAGAATACGGTTATCCTATAATGAAAGTAAACAACGTGGCGGTTATTTCACACATAATTACATGATACCTTGGGTCACTCGAGCATTTTATTTTATTTATAGTATTAGTTGTACGCTTTTAGTATTTTGAAGCGCGCCCTCAAATGTGGCAATGTCACGCTGGATAACTTCCATTCCCATAAAAGCAACTGTGATGCCCATGTGATCCTGTTTTTGCTACGGCAATATGTTGTAATCTATATTCGTGAACGGCGATCGTTTATGCAAATGAACCAGGACGCTCGGCAATGTCTTGAATACGTAATTACAATTACCATGTTGGTTTGTAGCCATTTAAAGCTGCGAAATTAATAAATGGAATAAACAGGACATCCAATTCGTGACTCTACAAGATTTATTAAACATGTGTTGTAATTTCTATTTGTTCCTCGTGGGTAAAATGAAAATTACTACACTCGTTTAATAAATATGATTTTGTGAAGTATGAGATATGCTCCATGAATTAGTTGTCAGGATATATCACTCTGTATTACTTATTATCATAAGTTATGTTGGGACTGGTCTTGGTGGCACAGCAACGTGCGACTGGAGCGATTAACCCCTCGTTTTGCAAACAATACATTACCTTGATAGCGCCATAGATAAGAATAATGGAAACTATCAGTAAGCCAATAAGCAACAACAGATCTATAATGTAGGACGATATCAAACCTGCAGAAAAAAAAATACAATTCATGACCAAATTATCCGGTTAGGGTGAGCGAGTAATGTTATCCCAACAATAGGCAATGTGTGGGGTTATGTCACGCGTATGACATCACGTCCGTCATTGTTGATCATCCGTGTTCGTATTCAGTCGTATTAAAACATCTGTCCTCCGGATTGTGCTCTCATTTCGATTCAGCATTGTGCTGCCATGAGCTGACAAGATAACCTACCTCCGGCCTTGTCACCCGCTGATGCCAACGCAGATAACATCATAATAAGTCTAATACCTGCTAGTATCTGAAATGAAGGTATATGTTGAGATGAGTTGGATGGTTGGTTGATTTCATTGAAAGCAAAACTTAACTTTAACAGTGCCCCATAAACGTGACTACATTGGTATACTATGTCATATACCAGGACTATAAAACTTTACACATCTGTGCTTTTGTTTTTGAAATATCCTTCCGACTTATATTGGTGCATAATGTTATAAAATATATTATCACCGTGTTTATATGTAAGTATTTTCTTATAAAGGTATGCATATATAGGTTAACTTATAACGGTATGCATATATAGGTTAACTTATAAAGGTATGCATATATAGGTTAACTTATAAAGGTGTGCATATATAGGTTAACTTATAAAGGTATGCATATATAGGTTAACTTATAAAGGTATGCATATATAGGTTCAATGCATGTATCAAGTTCATGTGTAATTTGTAACTGAGATCTTGGTCCAGAATGGCATAAATGCTTGACTTTGATGAATTTTTACATTAAAATGACCGTCATTCAGCCATCATGAATCGGATTGTAAAAACAAATACACGTATATATGTGACAAGATGTATGTTGTATATATTGTTTGTACATGCATTTATTCATCTGTTTTAACCAGTTCTGACCTTGAAAAGTGCATATGAATGTTATTCAAACCATTCGTATTGGTTCCGTTGACGGAAATACCCAAGTTTGAAAATAATCGAATAGAAATGTCTTGTGTTATTGTATAAACAAGAAATCTATTCATTTATTATTAATTTATTCATACTTTTACCACTAAAAATATACATGCAATTATACTAAAATTGAACGTGATTGAGAGTACTTAACATCATATCATAATTTGAAACCCGACACATAAAAACGTTTTTCCCACAAAGAAGGATAACGACAACGACGATGACAAGACATTTCCCTCTCCACTAACTTATTCCCGATAGCAACAAAACAAATTAACGGGATTATTTTCTATTAGCAATATGTTCGAGTTCACAGTATAACATATATGAAACATAATTGGCATGCCTTGCTTACTGTTACACGATTTAATTCTATATTAGGTGCTATAGACTATATCAGTCAGTCTTTCAAAACAACGTAATTGTATAAAGTTTAATTACACATCCAACAAACAATCGTTCTCGATATAGAAATCGGCAACATTGGTCATTATTATTAGCTAGTCCATATCATTTCATTGGTTTTGCATTGTTACGGGTATGAAATATACAACTGTAACCAATATGTTTGACCTTTCGCAGCGAGTTCATATTGCAGTATGTGACCTCGTTGTCATACATATATATCACGTGTGTTGTTCTATTTCAGGCGCTGTGTAGCAATTACAGGACTATGATATAAAGACAATAATTTAATATTATATATTTTGTCAAAACCACACATTGTTAAATTGGATATTTTATCAATATTGTTGTATTGTATCAAACGTATTTTTTTTCAGAATGTATTGGTTTATTTAGTTTCCAGCGTTCGGGAGTATTCATACTGCATTACAATGTAATTAAAATAAACAAGAAAATGTCCACCCACTGCGTAAATATCATGTCTTAATGTTATACTGTCATACAGACTTAATTGAGTTATCATTATTGTAAGCTTGTTAGGGTAAACATTTGAATGCCATTCTAGTGGGACACATTTAAGCAGCTGTTGCTTCACCTAAATACTTAATTTTTAATATATTGAAACTAGTTTTTATATGCATATTTTGGTAGACGAAAGTTCTTTGTTCAGCAAGTGCATACATACTTTATTAATAGTGAAATATGTTTTAAGGTTCATATGAACCTATATAAGGTTTTTGGTATTACGAACAATATTAGCCATAAGTGTACGGTCACTTTGAAATTGTCTTCAGTTTACAACATTAAATTGACATTTGTGTTCTAATGTTTCTTTCAGAACTGATGGGGAATTGACTATTTTCAGTTTGTTGTATTGAAATTTGAAAAATTGAAAATTACAATAGAAGTACTCTGTTGCTTCCAATATAAATGCTGGAAATCTTTGGTAACAGTTGGTTCTTTGTTTTATTAACTGTTTGGATTCTCACGATATTCATTTAAACACGCTTACAATTCGGGGTAATTTTTAAAACACAAACCACTACCACTTATAGATATTAACATAAATGTGCTCTTTCCAATCACTAGGTATTGTACAATATGGAATTTAATGCCCTTTTCAATTCAATATTGATAGTCAGGAATGTTTCAAACAAAATCAGTTAAGGTAGAGATGGAGTTTACCTGACAGGTATTTTAATTAGTTAATTAGGAAACCAAGATGACCTCCCTTGTCCACAAAATTATATATTTTCGGAAAGCTTATTGTATTAATTTTAATTTTTTTTAGTATTTTTTTATGGACGATTGTTGTAACACTGTTCAACCAAAAACAATGCCCCGACGGCGTTTTGAAGATAAACACATTGTCAATCATTTGTGCAAATTTCAAAACAAAGGTCAAAGCGTCTAGGAGCTATTTTTTTAAAGTAGTGGGATGTGCACTAAAAAGAAGTTGAGATAATTGCTAATTTGCATAACAATTCACTCAGTAAGAAGTTTGCTAATGCTCATAATTAAAATGGCTGTGACAGTTCCAAATTTAAATGTATTATTGTTTTGTTAAAAGTTAAATATAGTGCATAATATGGAGATCCCGTCATTTCTTTTTTCACCATGTTTCTTTTTTATTACTTATGTACAGCCTTGCTAAATCTTGCTAAGCATTCAAAAGAGAGAATGTTTGCACCTGTTATCTATATTTTAAAATCGTTTTTTGAGTATGTTCCACTATTCACAATTCTACAAAATTTTAACAGAATATAACCAAGACTGTTTGGATAATAAATAGCAAAAACAAAAAAAATCACTCTTAAATCTATTGTTCCTGATATGCCTTTCTTGCTAAACTTTTCAAATAAAATGACAGATAGCCAATTTCATATGCTTATGATGTCAAAGATAGTCATTCCTAGAAAAACGTATCATTCGTCACATGTTTCCCAAACTTGTTCAATATCCATTCAAGATATCCTTCCTTCCGGTTTGTCTCTCAGACACAAACCTTTAAACCCACATCATCAGACGTGATTTAAATATAAGTCTACCTCAATCATATTTAACCTGCTCCTTTCATTATCTGAAATAAAATTGTGAAAGGGCGGTGGTTGTCGCGCCACGTTCTGTTCAATATGGGAGTCATAGCGACGTATACAACGCGTGTAAAATACATTGTTTATTATGAAATTCGAACACGCGCTGCGCGACGACCACTGCCCTTTAATAATAATATTATTTTTTGAAAATAAAATTTGGCACTGTACTCATTGATACTAGATATATGCATTCCTGTATTCATAGTGTGTAACCATTGACGACAATACATTCTGTGTAATCATGTTAAACTCGGACTACATGTGGTACTACATAATAAGTTCAGATGCAGGCAATTTCACGTACATTTATGTGCTGTATTGGTAATGGAAATTAACAATTTTTGGTCAATGCGCAGTTATTGTTTCAAAAGTTGAAAGCAGATTTCTGTGTCATTTAAAATAACTTCTTAAAGGTTAATTATTACAAAATGTCCTACTATAAGGTGTTCAGGGCGAATTCATTAATTTAAAACTAACATATTTCGACACATACAAATTCATGTGTAAAAATGTATCTTTGTAAGTTGTAAGTTGTAAGTTGTACGAACGAGTTGCATCACCTGTGTTTATTTCGAATCCGCATAATTGAACTTGGCCAATATTAGTAACATTGCGAAATAAATTCAAGCAACATCAAAAACATTTTACATAGCTACACACAAGTACACTGTATCTTTTATGTATTGACAGTCTGCATTTAAATATATCTTTATTACTCTTTTTATTGCCACGCACGTCTTCTACTGTTTTACAACGTTATCTCTCCCTCTATGTTCTACGTGTCAAGGTAATTAGCCTAGTACATTTCTAATAACGTTACCGGGTACCTTGTTGGTACGCCTATGCTCACTGACATTGACCCCTGTCAGTTACTTGCAGATGTAATTATGATTTTAAAGTCTTCTTAATGTTAAATTATTTTTAAATAAATTTCATCGCCATATTTGTTTCAATGTGGCAGGAAAAAATAATACACATGTAATTAATAAGCTTCTTGTGATGTAGCGAACATATTTCAAAAGTGCAAGTGACCTCAAAGTACACGCACTGTATGCGTGATGTATACATTACAAGTTGTAGAATATATACTCTTATCTACACATTGATTTCTCTCAATGGTAAACAAATAACCCAAATTGTGGCAGATCTATACGTTTGTTAGTGATTGGATGTGAAATGTGACATTTTGATAAACCGTCGCGAATTTTAACCGTTTGAGATAAATATATAATACATATAAAGCGACAATGAAAGGGAAACAAAAGGCGAGTAATTCATAAATAAATCACTATACAACCAATACGTTAATTAGTTCGTCTGTGGTATCTAAGACAAACGCCTAAGACTATCAGTGTAACAATAGTCTTATAAATGATGGCCGCTAAAATCAGTTCTGCCTATCAATGGCATAATAGTGTTTCAATACGTTGACAGCTGTTAACAAAAACAGGATTTGGTGATGCCTTTTGAATTGCAATAATATTTTGTTTTTATACAAAAAATGTATAGCCGTCATGTGTGTGCTAACACGTTGACATTCGTTTTGTGTGTACAATTCTGAGTGTGTTTTGATATAGTTTGAATATAAGCATTCTATAGATCGTAGTTTGCACATGGATGTAATGAATGAAATTGACACATTACTGGATGTGATTGCATCTAGTTATGATACAGTATTTCACCGCATGCTACAATCCTTACTATACAATGTGACGTCACAAATTAATAATATGGTGTTATATAACATTAAGGATTTGACATTTGTATACACATTACGAGGTTTCGTTGATAAATGTTTGTAATATGTACTGATTGTGAAAGGTCGTACATTCAACCATTGTTATGCTAAAGTGACAGCTGTTTGTAAAACTTCATCCACTTTCTGCGTGGCTAAACAGGTGTACACAACGTTAACTGCGTCATAGATAGTAGCAGTTATGTTTAGATAAATCCGCGACGTGTTGCACACTTACATTTGATATTACTTGTATCATAAAATGGGCAGTAAATTGACTCTCAAAGCTATTGTTTCTCTCCAAAAAAAGGGCACTAGCTTTAATTTACCTCGTTCAAGGAATTTGAAGTATAATTAAGTAAACGTAAGTTAAATTTGTTTACTAGGGTATCACATTTCGTCTAGTCATGTAAGCAATTCGGATTTACATAAATGCTCAACTGAAGTAGTTAATATCATGCTTTTGAGTTACCCTGGTAACACGTCAACTGGTGGATACCCACAAAGAGTCGTTGTATTGTGGACAGTTGACATAGTACCGACTAGGCGAGGTAACTGATAGCATCCCAGTTGTAAATACCATTACGATCGTTATACGCCATCTCATACATAGGTTTAAATAGTTCGAATAGCAAATAACTGGAATACTTGAATAACACGTCACGCTGAATCATCCGACAAATTCAGTTAGGCTATTTGTCTCCCCGTCAAGTTCCATGTTGATGCTATATATATTATTGCCCGATGTGTTTTGTTTTGTTTTTCAAAGAAATACAAACGCCGATTAGTCCCGGGTAGTCACTTGGTAGAAACCTATCAACGAGTATGCGAGTCACCCAAGGGACTGTAAATTATGTATTAAAATGGGCAAGGGGTTCTGTTTTTCAATTTTTACAAGAATCAAAGCTGTGTTGATAAACTAATAATGCATGTAATGGGTGATATGTTGCAATGATAGTGGCGGGTTTTTCTTGAAAGTATGTTTCAAGGGGCGAATTTTTAAGGAATTTTTTCTACCGGGCCGTGATTTTCACTAAAGGTTGGTGCCTTGCTCACCCGTATATAAATAATACAAGTGATCCTCTCGGGCGAAAAGTTGCCGCACGCTAGATTGCGTTTTCACGCGCGAACCACTGTTTTGGCGTCGTTTGCGTAATTCTAAAATAATTCTCGTGCACCTCTTTTGAAACCAAAACAGGTCGCAATATTACCCATTACGTTATACGCCCGTAACTAAAAAAATGGATTTGTCCATTTCAGTTGAAAACAGGATTTACCGCTTCTACTGACACGAAACAGGAAAAATCGTTGTATACGGTGTATTTTACCATGGCTTGAATAATTAAAACACGCTCTCGTCCAATCAGAACGACGTATTGTTGCAGTTTAAATGCTAGTAATATATGATTAGTATGTTCGCTGCATTCGGTCGAAAGATATACAACGTTATCCGCATTGTATTTGTATATATGCAATAGGTGCAATCGAAATGAAGTACTTGTGTAACTAACCAATAAAGTTGTTGTGCAGTAATATTATCGCTTAATATTGTTAATGAGTGGATACAACTATGAATCACTGAGGTCACCCATAGTTAACAATAATGTAATGCAATGCTAAGCATCCATATCGGGTGACATGAGGCCCTCGCGGTGAAACATCAAGACACACCCTCGTGTTAGTGTACATTCTGAGATCTGCTTATTAATTATCTGATTTAGAGTTCTGCATAAACAATTCATGATCTATCTTTTTTTTGAAAAACAATACAGCATTTGTCAGTTTTCAACCAGAAATTATTATTTTGAATTTAGTTTAATTGCTATGTGGTAACAGTAGCATAATTTTCGGGGCAATTAGGGTGTATTGCATTTAATTCCCAATTCAAGAATTTTACAATTTGTTATTTTAAATAGTCCCAGAATTGATGTATTTGTGCAAGTTATTTAAAAATCACCACAATGAGTAACTTTGCAGCAAGTATGCATTCTGTTTGTGTTCATTACTGTTTATTACGAAGTTAAAAAGGAGGTTACTAAGAACAGTTGTAACTCAAAAGTGCATGTACAGCTAATGTGTTTAACGTTTGATGATTACTGTGTCATTTGGCATATATGTAGCTATGGCAACCACAAGGCAATATTATACTTGCAGAAGTTCATCGATCTATAGTGCATTTATTCGGGTTGAAAATAAATTGGTAAAACAATCTTACCGTAGTATAGATACCAGACACTATGGTTCCAGTACGAGTATTCATGCAACAGCAGCATGTTGTTATTATGGTCATTTTTGCAGAGTTACACGTCACTAATTGTGCTTCACAATACTTTGGTAGAACTACTTCCTTCGACGATCACTCCAGAAGTAATTGCTGTTCTCGTCTACGATCGTCCTCCCACACACGACGCTCCGTTCAGCAGCTGGAACAAGTCAAATAGGGGCCTAGGGCTGGGGTAGACTCTACTCGGTGTGTATTCTGGCATTTACATCAATTTGAATATTAAATGTGTTATTGATATGTCATGCTAATTGCGTGGGTGTGAAAGGGCTGGTATACCTAACACGTTGACATATGGTGGGGGTTGTTATCCGCAGTTTATATTTAGATATAATAATCAGGCGACGACAACGCGTAAATAAAATTGTCTTGTTTGTTGGAGCGTCAGATTATAAAAAAATATTCGATGTCGTCTATTAATATAAACAGAAAAAAATGAAATTGCATTTAAAACAATTTCAGACGTTATGATACCATATTGATGGCTTGTTATCACATTTACATAATATTTACTCATAATATTGACCGTCATACTTGAAGGCACAACTGGCGTATATAACATGACGTCACACAAATATGTTTCACGATATATAAAAGTGAAATAAAAACGATGAGAACAATATTTAACTTCTGATTAATTCGGGTATTGCATTCACGTATTGAATGAACTCATCGTACGGGTCTATAAAATCCGGCCTGTAGTAATAATTTGCATTCCCGGACGAGGCCAGGAGATGAGGTGCTATATCTGACGTAAACATCTGCCACGCATCTATTTATAACATTTCAATCAATCTCTTCTGTCAACAGCCTTGTACAAATTTCGTTCTGGTGAAAAGGTCATACCCCCTATTTTCAAATGGAATCATCCCATTACGCCATGAGGGAAACCGGCGTCAAACTATTCACCCCTGCGTCTTTCATCCGCCTTCGGCGATTTTAATCACAACCAATTACATTTTTGCGCAACCTCATTGGGCGTGTTTTTCATCATATCCAAAATGCGCTTCATAATAATAATAAAAAAAATGCCGATTAATAACAAATTAAAAAGGCAGTCAGATAACAACTCACGTTTTTGGGAACAAACCAGTTATTTGCCTACATACACAATAACCGTTACAATTGAAAAGTAAACCACACGCCACACTAAAAGTATAGTTTTTCAAGGTGCCCATATACACCATCGCTACTCAAATTAACAAAAACATTATAGTCTGACATAATCCGAGTGTCAAAAATCGAACTCAGGATATATTAGGGAACTGAACTATCGTTCAGAGGTCGAACCCATGTGTGATCTTTTTTTCTTGCTATTGCTAATTATTGTACTATTTTTAAAACAAATTATCGAATAGCTGATATAGCTAATCGATATTGAGTATCGATACAGGAGACGTTACTGTGATTGACGAGAGATACACTATTTGGGCGATTGTTTCTATTCTCGGATTTCCTAAAATGTGTTTTATACAAAAATGATGTTTGTTTGGTTGGTTGGTTGGTTGGTTGGTTGGTTGGTTGGTTGGTTAGTTGGTTGGTTGGTTGGTTGGTTGGTTGGTTGGTTGGTTAGTTGGTTGGTTGGTTGGTTGGTTAGTTGGTTGGTTGGTTGGTTGGTTGGTTGGTTGGTTGGTTGGCTGGCGTATTGGTTTATATGATAGTCCTGGCGACTGAAATGCTATCCTAGCGTACATATAGGATAAGTCGCTCTTTAAAAATAACGACACATCATATAATGTGTCTGTGAATGTTAAGTGATAGCGAATATTAATCTGGAAATTTAACCCTCCTGAGCTGGTGCCGACAATATGAGCCTAGGATTACTGATATACACTTTTATATTTATGATATACATTTATGGTCAGCACCGGTTCCCCTAGCTTTACGATAACGAGTACCAGCGTGTACGGTGTGCAGACGTTTCAGTAATATACACCGAGTTACGTGGTATTAGCTCTCTTTGACAATCAATTGCACAATCGTGATAAATTTCTCTTCAGTACCGCTATTTTACGTCCGGGTTTCTTCTGTCACGTGATACTATATCTAACAAATGTTGGATTTTTTGTTTCGAAACTTTACACACGCGGGCACCGATTTTTATGTTGTTGAAAGACCGTATTTTTCTTTTATTTCTTGTAAAATTGGGAATAACTGACTGAATGAGTAAAAAAAAAGGTGTAACGTACGGTAACCAGAAAAATGAAGAATTTATCCCAGTTGCGGCCATACTAAGAATATGAGTCAGACTTGGAAACAGGATAGTTGGTGTATATAAACTCCAGTAATGGGGCATTCCGATTGGTTGATAAATACTATATTGTTTTTAATAATAAACACCGAGTCACGTATCATTGGCTTCAGCGGACCGAAAAGAAATGCAGGCTCAAATGGCCGAGATGGAAAAACAAATACACTGAGGGTAATGAACTTTCTAATGACATGTCGTTTGTACATGCCCCTAACAAGCAATTACATTCTCAAGAGGAAGTTCTGATGTACAGTGTTCTCAATCTGCAAAAATATCTGAAAAAAATTGATTTACGAGAGATTGTATAATAATTAAATGAATGTGTCTTGTGTTACATTACTGATATCTTGAAAAAATAACAAAGATCGGTATAATGTATTACCCTCTATCACCAATCCAGAATTTTAAATTGACATGTATCTTCGATACAATTCCGGTTGACCTTAATTTATTCACTCCCTCTCTAGTTTTCTGGTTTATATACTTGAATGACACATTCATAGATATTGTAAAGAAAATAACAACTCTGGTTGGTGACGTCATCGTTTAATTTTCAATACTAGATCACGGTCTAGGTAAGCATGACCGACATAACCCTCCATGACAGTTTAGTATAAATGTTAACAACTGGAAACTGTTATTATTATATTGTAAACTAATACACGAATATACTCTTTTAGAACGGTAAGTACGGACGATTTAGCGCACCGCTTAACGTACCTCTTTGGGAAAAAATATATTGATTACTTGATATGAAGAATATTATAATATTACTCTAGAGTCATAGGATGTATATTGCGTCATCAAATAAAAATATAAATACAGGTGGCGAAAAAACTAAACGGTCGTTATCGTATTATAATTTGCATACTCTCACCTGAATATGTTTTGTGACTGTCATACTCTCTATAAGTATCAGTTAAGATATATTATTAATATGTGTTGATGAGAATGCTCACATTAGGGGATACATACAGGCATGTCATTGCTTTCACGCCCCCTGGGAAGGTCTGAGATACAAGCAGAATATATTCCTGAGACAGGAACTGTCCTAACCGGGACAGGTAGGAAAACAGAAATACGGCATGCCAAGGTACGAATCAGATGCACGAAGCCTGGTAACATCGGTTAATGTTATCAGGTGGACATCACGTGTCGTTGTCATAGTTGAAAGTAGTCCCATTGCTAGCACCTTTGAGTGCGATTTGTGAGGTGGTACCCAGTCCATAACTCAATTCAGACTACTCTCTCATCAACACTTTTATTGAAACAACGTGTTGTTGCATGTCGATATCGAGCATACTTGATAACCATAGTAATTTTCATCTCTCCTTTGGTTGCGTTGATGCAATAGCAAGTATCAAAGCTGCAGAAACTTGGACTAAAGG